CATGAAGATTTTTCTAACCCAGCACTAGGGGAAACGTTTCGGTCATTTTGGATGCATTCAGGAAATGTCCAGAAATATATGCTATATTAAATTGCACAGCAGATGAAACAATCGGCAAGTTATCTGATTTTTTCGGCTGTTTCGGACTTGCAGAGACTTTAATGGCCGATGACAGCCCAAATTTCACTTAGGAGTCACTCAAGCCCTTGTATAATATGAGTGGAATAACATGTCTTTGCTCACCACTCTATCACCCTAAATCCAATGGACAGGCACAACGCTTTGTCGACACCTTCAGAAGAGCATTACTGGAAACGAGAGATGAGGGGACAACAAGTCAGGTAACCACAAAATTCTGAATAGCATAATAAACTACTCCAAGCCCAAGGATGAAAGTTGGGAAGACATCATGAAAAACGAGACGCCACCGGAAGTCAGTTATCAAGCTGGAAGTGGACCCAAAGAAGTCGTATGTTTTGAGAGAAGAAACATCTTGAGAAGATCCAGAGTATTCTTCAAATGTCGAGAAGGATCCTAAAGACGCTGGGAAACGTTTGATCCAATCAGCGCTGAACAGAAGTTTCTCGGAAACATCTAAAAAGTGAAGATTCACATGTCAAAATTCTAACAGGATAATTACCTATCCTGTTACTATGTTTGGTGTGGTTCCAGAAACTTCCAGAAGTTCAATGCCATCTGAAATACTATAAATATCCTCGACTTTTAATACATAAACTAACCTTGGAGTGAAGCGTTCGTACCACATTTCTCTTTTTTTTCTCGCGTTCAATTTGCCTATGGAACTCCATGGTTTCTGTGTTCTGAACGACATTTAACATGTCAAGAATCTCCCATGCCATTCGCAATAAAATGCAGAATTTGAAAAGTTTTTAGACACTCATAAGAGGATTGAAAAAAACCAAGGGGAAGGGAGGTTTGAGGAAATATTATAGTTCTTACTAGCGCACCGTGAGACACCGAATACCATAACGACTGATGAGTTTACACCGGTAGGAGCTATGTTTGGAAGAAAAAATAAAACACTACTGGACAGTTTGAGGCCACATATTATGACGACTACTGAGTGGAACACGAAAATGGAAAAATGGTATTTGATTCCCATCGTCCGTAAACGGAGTGAGTACATGGAATTATCCTACGCAGTAAAGAGAAAGTTATCTATGAATTCAGAGTTGGTAATATGAAATAGATAAGGTGCAGCAACCACATACGACCATCCAGATGTGAAGAAAGAGACGAAATCAATACGAAAATCCATATGCCTCTGAATATGTTGGTTGATCGATAAACAAGAACAGTGGGTGAAGAACAGAACCATCCTTAAAATCACAACAGATTTAAATAAACTCTAATGACAGCTTTTATCAATGATGTTTTAAAAAAAGGAGGTATGGTATGGAACGATTTATTTATGAGGTAAAAAATTTCGAAGCTATTTTCCTACGATTTTGCTTACACTTAGTGATTGGATGTTTATTCAGTATTTCGGTTTTATTATTTTCTAAGCTTTTACTTGAACCGTAATTTGTTGTCATAGCATTTCCCAAGCATAAACTAGGACTGATTAATTGTGTACCTAGTATTCCGTTTTCCTATCGTTAGTGTCGTTGTTCTGTGTTAATACTGTTACCCGATTGGTCTGCTGCGTGGTCTAATCTTATAGGTAATATAAATGAATGTCTGAAATATAATAACTAGCCTGGAATGATGGACATTGATCTTCACTTCTTCCTCTTCGTTCGGGACTATTTAGTACTGAACCAACCTTCAGACAGAGTATCAGTTTTCCTGGTCTTTGCTGCGTGTTGGTTTCTTTAGGTAGTCTACACGTACTGGTTGGTTGTAAGACATAACACAACCAATAATATGTATGTCTCCGGCTTTATTCCACACCTCCATATCAATTGCAAATCCGAGCGAAGTCACTTTATATATATATATATATATATATATATATATATATATATATATATATATATATATATATATATATATATATATATATTTACAAGGTGACTAACAGTATTCGCCATTATATCAGATTTACAAGACAATAAGAACCGAAGAACAACGTTTCTAACTTTGGAATCATGATTGATGGAACTGATTGGGAAAAATTTGAGTGCAGAAAGTCAACGTACGTGGATTAAATACTGAATTGATATAACTAAACAAGCAACAATTAGAGGAAGCCGTGTCAATAGATTATTTATTATAGCTTACACTTTTTCTTCATATTATGCTAAAGTAGACGAGAACCATTTATTATGAAAACGTTTGCTAATGATAGAAACTAGTAGTGCTTTCCATAAACCCGGTTCTACTACATACAGGCTACTCTCAGTACCTGTGAGATATTGGACAGTTAGATATTTTGCCAAGTATTGCTTTATAAAAACATATAACATTATTAATTATACCTAGCGATTCTTATTCGCGCTTTAGTGCTTTCTCATATAATAACTATACTACTTACTGATATCCAACAGTTTATTTCGTTGTCTGTCATTTTCGAAAGTATGACTAATATGTCTCTTCAGAGTAATGGGTGATAGTTCTCAGCATTTATGAGTTTGTGACACTTAACCCAATTACATTAACTTAAAATTTCTAACGGTTGGGCTCACTTTTCAGGTTCACTGAACATTTCCTTATACATAACAGTCTCTATATATTGTGTACATAGCTTTGTTTCAATTTGTTGTCTGATATTGATATGATTACTACCAGGCATTTAGTTTGCCGTATAATTTTCGTAAATTATTCTTACAAAAATTCTGTGGGAAATACCTCTCCTCTGATTTTGATTTTATTTCCCAGACACCTCTGGAATCGAGATTAGTGGACAATATATTGCTTTTAGTAATAGTACTATTTTGTATACAAATGCCTGATTCTTTTTCCGAATTTTGCGCAAGACTCAAGTTCCAAAATGACATCGGCCAGTTATGGCTGTTCTCGAGAAAATCACTAGTGATGTTTTATCTTCATTTCAAAAACAACGACAAACAGATTAAATAATTCCCAACTATCACTACTTAGTAGCTTGCATAAAGTACAAAATGATGTAAATAAAGTATTGTCAGTACGGCTAGTATGAGATAAACTTACTGCGATATTAGGATGATAAATTAGGAGAAACTAAAGAAAAAGTATGGCAAGAATTTAACCGCTTACCTCCACCCCTTTCGTTCCTAAACATGTATGAATTTGTATAAATATACCTATTCAAATACTCTACGTTTTAATGAGGTAATATTTTTTAAGAATAAATTTCCTCTTGCAATAATGAGAGCTAAACACCATAACCTCTGTTATTCTTCATTTTTTTAAACAGAGAAGATAATTTGGCAAATAAAAACGGTCGGTAAATACCTTTCAACGTTGGATAAAGAGTAGCATAGCGTACTTGATATTCTTCCATTTTACAGTAGTCTGAAAGTTCTAATTCTTCTAATTTTATTGTGGCTATGTAGTGAACAAGAACACAAGTGGGGACAATCGAATGTATGTGAATGCAAAATTACAGAACGTCTCAGTAAATACTTCATTTGCAAAATGTTCATCAATTGTCGCAGACTTCGTTGTTCTTTCGCTTCTACACCAACCATTCTCTGTTCTTATTCACTTTTCTTCGATCTTCTCAACCTTCTGATGCCAGGCATTTAATTTTCGTTTGATGATACATACTACTTATAACTGCCGACATCAGTAATACACGCCAAAGCTAGTTATTAAATCATCTGTTTTATACTACTGATCCAAAATAGCTAGTAGACATAACTAAATAGCATAAAGAATTATTCATAAAACATCTATACTTTACAAAAAAACGTAAAATGGTGGGAAGAAATAGCAAAACACAGATTAAGTGCTCATCTACAATTTGTTGGATCAGTACACAGACAATGAAATTGTCCCATTTAGGTTTCCGCTGTTCGAAACATCTATGTAGATAAAAGAGCAAGTTTGTCAATCACGGATCGAGACTAATCTGATAGAATTATTTCTATATACCAAACTAGCTATTTTACCAGTCAGACCATTAAGGACCCTAAATATTTCCAGGGCTAAACCATAAGGACCTGGCTTGTATCTGCTCATCTCAGGTTAGCTATGGCCTTTTCAACCTTGTATGGGCTTAGAAACCCAATGTACGTCTTCCATTTAGACTTTTGATGGGTAGTGAACAATTAGACCATTTTGACAGCTATATAAACTATCCCTTCAATCGCTTTAGTCATGTGATCCAAGACTAGACTATAACTTTGTTTCTTCAGGGATTTTCACTAGTAGCTGACTTTTTGACCGAATAATCTTAACAGCTGACCTGTGTTATCCATCGTCATTTCATATTCCATTTTTTGTACTTTTTTTGCCTCCCACTGCGCACGACCTATGCTTAACCTTCTTATTAATTTGCATTTACGTCTCTTTCGTTTTTTATTGCGTTCGAACCTTCTAGTAATGAATTTCCACGTATCAATCAATTTGCTAAAGACTTTTAAAAACCACTGTTCATTGTTAAACATTACTAGCAGAGCTCACTGGCAGTTTTGCAGCAGGCTGCAGATTATCCCAGGCTACATAGGAATGAACGTTCTCTTCATGGTCGACTAAGTGCCTACCCAGCTCTCCAAAGATATTTTTTGCAGTCTCATTGTCAGGCTAGGGTAGACAAGCACCTAGTCGTATTAGAACGTGAGTGAAGTTCATTTATATGCTCCAAAAGAAGCAACATATATCTACTGACTCTTTTTAGTGATGAATGATGAAAATGTGTAATCTACCTGTGTCAAAATATGCTTAAGTATATGATTTAATCTCATGAAAGTGCTTCAAAACAAATACTAATGTCTCTCCTTAGTACTCCCTGGTGATCATTAATTTTAAATATCATATTGGTCACTAATTGAACCCATTCCTAATAGTGACCAAATGTCTCGTAGATCCAGTTAGGATTTCAAAAGTAAAAAATATATAACAAGAAGACATAACAATTAAATTGGATTCAATACAAAAAGAAAAATCATATATTTGTTACATTCTGATATTTTTGCATAAGCAACATATTATTCACTTTTCTTTCCTAATTCTCTATGACTCTTAACTGAATTCACTGTCCCATTGATGTTATTTGTGTTGTTGGACGACTGCTTAGGACGTGTTTTACCATAGATCTGATCAAGTAATAAGCCAGAAAATATTAATACCGTCCCTATCCACTGGCATGTTGTCATACTATGACCAAAGACAATAATTGAGAAGAGAACTGTGAAAAATTTTCTTGTTGTAGTCACAATTGAACAAGTTAATGGGCTGAAGTTTGTGATCAAACCAAATAGAAATATCTGATGGCATGGAGGGAGAAGAAAAGTAAGATAAAAGGGCAAAAACATATTATAAATCAAGAACACGATTCAAGATAGCACATGTCTGTCTAATATAAACGAATCATGATTAACAAACAACAAAAACTTTGTTTTATTCAGTGTATTTATATCATTTTCCTAAAACTTTAATAGGTGGACTATAAGACACTCGACAACTGTCAATACAACAAATAAACCAAAACAGCATGTCAGTTATCAGCAACGTGGAACCTTGCACATACATACGTCGGTTCAAAATATAACATAAAACCAGCACAACTAGATGAAATAACCAAGGCGAATGTCAAAGTAGTAGAATTATTAGTAGCATGAGTGGGAGTATAAAAGATTACGCATACACAATATTATCAGAGAAAAAAGTATGAATCTATGAAATAAAAAGGGTGAGGAAATCTTAAAAATCAAGATCCAAGAGAAAACAAATACATCTGTGATGTTATTGTGGCTGATTCAAAGCCATATCACTAAACGTCTCCAGCTGCTGATCATAGTTACTGCGCGGACTCTGACTAGGTAAGTTTTAATGACATAGAAACAATGTAAAATGTGGCAAAAATGTACTTTACTGTATATATGCACACTGTGAAGAAATCAATACAACTAACATCAACAAAAGTCAAAATAATAAAACTAATGGAAGTGATAAGCTAAATAGCATACAGAATACGTGGTTGAAAGGAAATAAATTTACGGAAGGAAAATCTAGCGTGTAAAAGAATTGTAGGACAATAAAAGTCGAATTTATTTGAGCTATTGCAGCGGATCTTGACTCATGCTTTTATGTTAGAATAGTTGAGATAACTCACAAACTCACGTTAGTATGTTAATTTCGACTAGAAAATATGACAGTGAATAGATGGCAATACTGATTTTACTTATTTTATGGGCTTCAACTAATCAAAATAAATGTAGTCAAAGAGTTAAGCAATTTTATTCTTTGATCCTCAAAGTTTAGTGTTGCAGTATTACAAACCGAAAACACAGTTCTATTTAACCAATACACAAAAGTCGTAACTATCCAAAAATGGTTCGGAAGGATCACTCTTACAATGAAAGTTAAATATAAGCACATGTCCAAAGGAGAAATAAACATGAATATCATGATGAAGTTAACCAAATGACTGCCAAGTAACAACGAACTTGCTTGATTGTCAGATTCTTTTTTCCACGTTTTCATGGTTCGTGTTGTTTTCCAATTCTCATTTCATCATTAAGACAATCAGGATTCTCCAACTCCTTGAATGGTCCTGAGGAGTTAAACAGTTGTTTTACTTATTTCAATAGTCTTATTTTAATACTGTTAAACCACATGTTTTTAAGCTAACCATCTCTCACAAAGAAGACTTTGAAAAGACTTATTATTAGCATGCACAATACCAATCATTCGTATATTCAAGCTTTAGGGAATCTTGAGGTGGCGATATTATCACGTTTTTACTTTGGACAAGTAAGATAAACGTGTATGAAACTTAAGGCACTTGCTAAATATACTCTAATACCTAACTGGTTATTGAAAATATAACTAACCTGACCAACAGCACTTGTCAAGCCAAAAATACTCATATCATAAAGAATATGTGGATGGCGTTTGATAAATTCCATAAACGGCGAAACTTCTCCAGAGAACACAGTCACTTAAAAAAGAGAAGTGTATGGAGTAATTTTGATATATTTTAAAGCCAAACTCGACAAACAAAAATATAGCGAAATAACAAGAAATGAAATGCTAGGTATTTTTTAGAAGTGAGACAAATGACGTATTGGGTGACAAGAGAAAAACTGTTCTGAAATCCAACCAGTGCATATAGCGGAAAACTGACTGAAACAACTTAGAGACTGGAGGAAATTTGCATGGGTTCGGTGTGCTGGTTTCCAAAAAATCACAATAATAAGAGTAAAAATGGACTAAGAGATTAATAAGAAAATATAACAGTTATGTAGTATCAAGTTATTAAAGAAAAAGAGCAAGATAAGTGGGCAGATTTAGACTACGACTCGTCAGATTGCTTTGGGAAATATTTGACAAACCAACCACGAAAAGTATTCCCTCTAAACAAGAGCTTAGTAAAATCAATCGTTGTATCTTCACAACCTGGTAATTGGATTACAGCCAACTGTTGTCCTCTACATAATTACATTGCCTGAACAATTATCGATCAGCACAAGTGGAAGTTATAAGCAAAGCTATCGACTGAGTTATAAGAATCAACACCCATCAAGTTCAAGGGGCAAAAATCAAATAACAATTTGAACCTTACTGAGTTATTCAGGCGTTACTGAAATACGAATCATACAGATTAAAAAATCACACTTTACGTTAACTTTCGGCCCTTTCTGACCACACACTGTAGATTTAAATATCAAAATACAGAGGACGAGTCAAATAACACTGGTGACTTAGCCACTCTCGCATATAAATGTCTCATTAGCAACATCAAAAATTAGTGCCGTTACATTACATTCAAACTCTATCCTTAAATTTAACAGGCTTTTACGTTGTAATTGACCATCGAGCTTTGAAATGCATATGCGCAAGTCAAATTATCAATCACCTGCTGCAATAAAAGTGCATTTAGAACTGCGTGCTAATGATATGTAAAACTGTAAAAAAATGGAAGGAAGAAAAGTATTTTCAATGGTGTGTGAACTTTTTAACAATACTTATTTAAAAGCAGAACAAATGCTTGTCGATAAAGCATGACACATGATGGTCCTATGTAAATGTCAAAAGTGAAATATATATGAGGGAATCAGAATTTTTACCTGGAACTAAATAGATGATAGACCAAAAGTTCATATGCATCATTAGAGTGTAGGAACCGACATTGTGTTTTCTAAGGTCTTCTTGGACTCCGCCAGTAACACCATCGAGAAGTAACGAAGATATCTTAAAAAATTAAATTAACAAGTAGAAATGCCATAGTATACCAAGAGACACTCTCCAAAGCCAAATTCGCTTGCGGAATTCCCTGCTGAATGCCCCCTGAGCATGAAGAATGCTACACCGAACGAAATCATTGTCACAAAAATGTATTTCTGCAAAGGATAACTCCGCTTGGCTAGCAATACACTCAGAAGCATTACAGGAATTGGTTTGATGGATTTTCCTATCACCTACACAAACGTTTTAACAACACCATTACAAACCTGGGTAGGATAAGTGACATACTTAAGACTTGTGTTACTTGTGTACATTGCGGTAATATAACTAAAGCCACAAATGCCAAACTTATGCTGCAAGGAAGGAACTGATAACTCTGGCCAAAACCAGAGAGCTAGTGACATCATTAAAGAATGTTAGGCGTAAATTTACCTATTCGTGAAAATATGAAGTTTATTATGCACTGGAAAAGCAACAGAGAGAAATAAAAATCAAATAACTCCATCCCAGGACCATACTTGGTTTTTGTGCTAACAAAATTTATCAAATACGTGAAACTCAACTAGCTCACATTTTTTCTTGGTAAATACCATACACAAGGTAAGACAAGAACACACCTCCGGAGCGAAAAAAGAGAGAATATACACCCAACAGATGCATCGCAACTTTCGAATAATCACAAATGACAGATCACTTTTATCGAGACAGTAAAACAAAAGTAGCCTTATAAGTTTTGTTAAGTACAAAATGAACAGGCGTTCTAAACTCAAATTCTTTTTTACTGCTAGATTTCTTGTGATTTTATTTTTTCACCCGAATGATCGTAATTATTTCGTCCTTATTTCTGTCGTATTTCCGACGACATACATGCAAAAAATTCAGGTTGTCATAAAGATTCGTAGGTGTCGTCGTCAGGTAGGTCTCTGAAATTTTTATATTGTACGCATCAAGGGGTTATTTATAGGCGAAGAGATAGAACGTGTCAGTATCAAATAGTAAGTCAGACAAGTTAGTTTGTAAAGCCAGTGAAATTTCAGTAAGCCTTGGCCAAATCACCCGGCAGTTAAGTTAATTAACTTCAAAGAGATCGCCGATTCTCGTCAGAGTGAAGGACAACCAATGCGTGATAATCAGCTTCATACCATGGACAGGAGCATGAGTCAGTGGTTCAGCCTTGTATTTCTATAACCACTTGAAACACGCCATCGCTCATCGAAAGTGTCTAGTACTATGTCAAGTTCACATGAGTTATTCCGGCTTCCTGACAGGCCGATTTATTTGTTCTTCTCGAGTTACATTTTGACTTTTTCAATTATTCGCTTACTTGGCTTAACTGTTCTTATATGAGGTATATATATGTATTGTTTAACTTATTCAGAACATATTTTCAGCTTATTTTGTCGGGCTATAAGTACTGAGTCAGGCTTCACTAACTTGAGTTGTCACAGGAAAACTAAACCCTGGTGCTATTTGCAAGGCCCAATCGCTGAGATTGTTCTTAATGATTCTGAAAGCAAACACTTGATGGCTCCCATGCGATCAAGAAATACTTGTGCAGTGATCAACTTGAAGTAGATAACCCTTTGTAGACCATGTGGTTAAACTATTCCCATGCTTCATTTTCTAACATTGATATCTCTCCGAAAGTATTAGATTTTTATGCTAATATTCCAAGCTTAGAGTTATAATCTATGAATAATTTACTGAAAGTCTAAGTGACTTCGTTTGGGAGGAGGAAATGATATTTACTCCTTCAGTTAGTCTGTGACGCCATTTATTCCACTACATTTACACCTCCAATAGTTAATGTTGAGTTTTTTGTTTGTTGATTATTCGTTAACTCTTTTTAAGTTACAGTGTGCCGCAGTCCATAGACAAAACAGTTCATGAACCTAGTTTGCGAAACGTTGAGACTGCATAATGAAACTTTCAGTGGTCCTGGCCTGTTTGACTAAGATGCTTGGAAGTTTCAATTTCACAGTACAACAAGCTTCGTAAAGTTTTGAACTTGATTCCCTAATATATTAGTGGCTTCGAAATTCGCTTGGAGAGTAATTGTTCAAACCAAAGTGCTGTACAGTTACTTGACTAGGAACTACTCTTCTGAACTTAAATTCCTCCTCAGGCTGAGAGATCTCATCTTCCTCTTTGCCAGACGAGCGTGATGAGTGTCTGTTCCTGAGTGGTATAGTTATGGGTTCCTTGGGCACAAAGAGGGATATTTTAAGTCTTAATAAGCCTTGGACAAGTTATTTTTGCTATTGTCAGTCGCCTGAAGTTTTATTCATATCTAGATAATTTCCATAAGGTCTACAGATGACACGTCAATATTCAAAACAGCAGACTTACTGAAATGTAGAGGCATCATGTCCTATTTTTTCTACCATTCTCGTTACTGCTTTTATCGTTTTGATTTCAAGGGAATAGCAAACAGATATGAGCTATACTGATGTGAATAAATGTGGTGTGGCTTACTAAACTTCAAGAAGCCTGAGTGGTGCCTGTTAGTTGTGTCTATAACTGACCAATCAAACCGGTGTTAAAGCTCTCACCACGTCAATCTGGTCTGATGTGTCTGTTGACTATCTCCGTTCCATATGACCTGTCAATTGAAGAAAATTATTACCTTATTATATTAGTGTGATTCATAATTTTTATTCATTTCGATAAGATACACAATACTGTTTGTGTTTTCCCCTTAATGACTGTAATTCTTTCAAGTATTGTACTAATCAAATTGTTGTTTTTACATTTGGAAATAAGTAAAGTTTAAAGCCAAGTTGTCCTTGTTCTGACTATAGCTTTCACATGGACTTTGGGGTCGTCAGTATTGCATTTACAGTTCTAATAAAATATCTTTGGAGCAAATTAAATCTTACACTGACCTGTACGGCTTATTAGTCTACGTAAAAAATACAATAGCCACAAATGGTAACGAGATGCAGCTGAATTGTAGTAGCAACGTTGCTATTAAAATAAATATGAATATAAAACATACGAAACCCTTAAACATTGTCTCCGTTGGACTATGAAGCTAGTAACTGCTTCGTCATCTCTTTCTCAATACATCCTGTTAGCAACGCAACATGTATAACGCAACAGCCAATTCTACACCTATTGCACCAGTCACAGAATCAGCCTAGGAAGCTGCTTTGTCTATAGAGGAGTTGACTTCTTCGGCCGCTGCTCCGAAATTTCAAATATTCACGGGATAATATATAGAACAGTCATATGGAATAGTTCTTCAGAAACATATCAATAAGCAGGCAACTAATTCTTTTTATAGCTCCAAACAAGTTTCAGTTACCGTTCAACGGATGATTAAATGCTGTGGTTATGAAGTTGAATTTGATCCACTTAGCAGCTGAATTTCGTAGGACCCAATAAATTATCTCCACTCAGACCCCTCTCCAAAGATATCTTGAAGAATGGATTCCACGTAATTGAAGAATAGGTTTGACGGCAATCGACTGACTGATTAGAACAGGCAGGAGAGTGTCTTTTTGAAATGTATTGGGTTGTTGGCTTCATCCATAATAAGCGCAGTGTATCAATGATCAATTTACATTACTACCCTAAGATATGCTCAGTTGGCATCGTTTCTTTAAACAAATATAAGCGGCGTGATTATAAATTCAGCCATAGACAAACCATCTATAGATCGAAATAGTTAAATTAGTGCAAATTCATTCTGAGATACAAAAAAGCCATCAGCATGAATTGGTTATGGTCAACAACAATTATACTTCAGTCACTGAAACGAAGAACGTGTGTTACCTTCCACAAGCTGAAATCGGGATAAAAAGTTTTATTGACAAAATCATATAAATGCATGGCTATCCTGTATTCATAGTCTCCGTCTCACCTCTGTAGTGACTCACATTTATCACGAGAACACGACTGGTTTAATAAAAACAGTTATTATTATAACCAACTGTACCAGTGCTTGTTTTAATGTGCTTTTGTTTGACTGTGCTAATGACAGCTATATTTGGCTTCCATTCTTATTCTCACACTTTGATTGTGACTTCGCGCGAATTCGGTTACGTTCTGTAACCAAGCTTCTATCCTGGCACGATCTCGGTATCCTTTCGATGCCACGAGATCGCCAGCGAATATATCTCGATTTGGTCCATTAACTGCCTTCTGATATTTGGCTTCTCGGGGATCTTATGGATATATTTGGTTACGTTCAACCTACGCCTTTTGATTTACTTGGCACGTGTTTCTTTGTAGCGGTGTTCATAGTTAACCTCAACTCGACGCCACGCCACACCTCTTCACCTTTACATCGCAGATCATTTTTTGTTTGCTTCACATCCAAGATATATGTGAACCCTATGAGTTTCTCTGAAGATCTAAAGTCCTAAATACTCAGTACTCTCTGAAGTAACGACACACTATCATACACAAAAGAACATTACTTGATATTAGTACCAAATTACAATTTTTAACACAATGATTATGACACTACACAGTAATTATAAGTTATATCAGAAACACAAAATACCCTAACAGTGCCTCAAGCCTACCATACAGCAGACGGTTTATCCAGTACGAACTAGCCTATTGTACAGTGCTTGAGAGGAAACAACAATATTTTTAACAAAATAAGATAAAGATTCTGTCTGCAAGAATTATGTTAAGTAACAAATTTCTCCAGTAAACGATCAAAGAGCAGTAATCGGAAACCGCTCTACACGATAACCTAGCGTTCGGTTAAAAAAGACTTTATTGTCAACGGTCTGTCATCGCATAACAGTAAAACAGAGTATTAAACGCAAATCTTAACCGACGTCAAATAGTAAATATCTAATCAAAGAATACTGAGATACATCGGAATATGGTTATATAAGTCTTGAATAAAAGTTAGCACATGCAAAACAGGCAGAAAACTTCAAGGAAAGTAGCAATGTTGCCAGATAAGACACATGGGAGGAATCCTCATTACATGCTTTTTATTACACGGGAGATAACTATTGGTTGAGTACTGAATTAATTACAAATATATTACAGTCACGATTTTGTCTTTTTCTATGGTGACCTTAGATGCAACTTCCTTGTGATTCACTTACAGCTTTCAACACCTAGTGAATTTCCAATTTAACCTTATAAAACTTATGACATTGCGTTACTATTGTAGGTTAAATATTTACTTTCAGTATTTCAACAGAGGCTTGACAAAAATTGTCGGCTTTCGTATCAACGTAAATTGTCAACTGATATAACCCCCAAATGTTATCCCAGGACGATAAAAATTCCTTTCCGATAACAGCACAGTTAATGATGAACTAGATAAATTTGTCTCGGCCTCAACATAAGCTGTTTAACAACTGTTCACGTGTAGAGTCGATTGTTATATTAAGCCCACGTAGCTTATCCTAGTTTCCGGACAGGCCAATTTAGTTATTCTTCCTGAGTCACATGTTAACCTTGTTAGTTATTCACCTATCAACCTCCACTGTTTTTATATGAGCATATGTGTGCGTATTTCTTATCTTACTCATCACATGTCTGTAACTTATTTTTGTCCGGCCATAAATATCGATTCACGCTTGGCTAAGTTGAGTTGGCTAACATGCCTTCTCCGACCGGTTTCGCTTCGCTCTCACCTCTCCGCTTCCTCTCTAGACCAATGAGTGTACAAAATATATGTATTCAAAGCTTCATTCTCGTATTTGAATTATT